GCCCATCCCCCCGCGCCGCCCCGCTCCGGCCCGCTGTGGGGCTGAGGCCCGGGCTGAGAGGCAGGGCAGGGGCCACGGGACACAACAGAACAGAGCAAGCAGAGAGCGGCAGACAGTGAGACCCGTCCCTCCCGGCGTGCAGCACGGCGTGCAGCGGCACAGCTCACGCACACCGCGCGGCGCGCACACACACGGTGTGCTGCAGCAGCGATAACGCGTCCAGGGGCTCCCTCCTGTGGTTCCTTATCGTGTCGCGAGTGTCGAACCGGTGAGGCGGCGGCCTGCGTGTGTTTGTGTGTGCGTGATAGCGTCGTCGCGCTCCCTCCCTCCCGAGGCGAGGCCCCCGTGCCCCAGAGGAGGCCGGCCCCCGCGGCCGGCTGGACTGGACTGTGTGACAATGGACGGATAACCTCAACACGTGTGCGTCCCCTATCAGGTTTGTCTTTTACATGTAACCGCAGGCTGCGGCGTGGTGTGACGGTCGAGAACTAACACCTTAACGTGTCGGTCAAGCTTACTGAAAAAAACAAAAACACACAAAAAAAAACACAAGTGTTTAGTTGAACCTTTGCAGGGGTGCTGAATGAAAAGGTACCAAAATATTAGTGCCTTAAGCAGTTTTTATGCATTTGTTAAGGCACTGAACCCTTAACGACCTTTAACACCTTCTAAAAGTGCCACTATTAACGCCTTTGTTTTTCCAGTGATATCCAGGGGAAAGGTATATTTCACCTGGCCGTCTCTGTTCGCGCAATGTATGACAGTGGCGGGTCCTTTGTCCTTGCGCTCGGCCATCCGCGCGTTTCGGCGAGGAGGGCAAAAAAAGGTCGTGATTGTCGTGACGGCGTTTTCAATTTATATAGTGTGACTTGCCTTGCCTTGTCCTCTCTTGAATTTCCCGTTGCCCGCCAAATCGTTCTACCATAGACAATGTGTAAAAACATGGGAGGCCATACCGTGTTCTTCGCGCACCGCCGCCAGGAAGGAGTAGAAGCACAGCAGGAAAAAATAAAAATTACCTGCGGAGCCCTTGTTGTTACACCTTGTTACACACCCCGGCCGACAGAGTCCCAGGCAGTTTTGTTTTTTTCCTGTCGCCACCCGAAGCTCCGATTTCTCACGCTTATTTTTCGCAGAGTATGACAGTTGCCACAATAGAATGTCCCGCTCCTCCCCTTGCCCTAGGGTTCGGTTCGGCCCCGGTGCGCTCCCGTTCTTCATTGGAGGGGAAAATTTGGTTTGAGTAAAAGCAGCGCCGCCCGGCCGAAGGGAAGGCGAAGGCGGGTGGTGCAAGTAGATTGCTGTCAATTATTGAGGACGTCGGCCCTCGGTCGGCCGGTGCGCGTGGAATCACGGGAGCATGGCGCGCGAGCTTTCTATATCGGTATCCCTGCCGGCTTGCCGAGCGGCTCGCTGATAGTGCTCGCGTGCGCGTTGCGTGTCGCGGCGTGGGTGGGTGCGGTGGGCGCGCGGGAGTGCAGCGCGGCGTGCCGGGGCCGCGGCACACACCGACCGGCAGTGTTTCTGTCGGTGCATCGGAATCTGGAATTATTCATCGCGTCTCAAAGAGCTGCAGCAGGCAGCCGGGGAATCCGGCGGCGACGACGACGGAGGCGGCGGCGGCCCCCGGGGGCCTAAGGAGCAGCAAGGGCTTTGGAGCGTGGCGGGGCGTAGCGGAGGCGCAGGGCGGCGCTGGGCGCAGCAGCATTCCCCTCCCCCACCGCCTGTTTAGGGAGCAGAGAGGGGCCCTTAGGATGAAAAAGGAGTAAAAACAATGAGGCGAGACAGGCAGGGCGGGGCCGGGCCCGGGCCGGGCGTAGCTTAGCGCGGGCGAGGGGAAGGGCGGCGGGGCGGGGGTCAGAGGAGTCAAGTGCAATGACACCCTTCCTGCCCCGCACCTGGGCCTGGGCTGAAGGCTCCAGAGCGGCCGAGCTAGAGGCAGGCGGCCAACTGTAACACGTAACTGTAAGGGAGACATTGCAGTAGCCGCGGTCCAGGTCCAGGAGGAGGCTGCCTGCCAGAGAGTGGGTCGCGACGGTCACGGCATGACAGGCTCGCGCGCGGCGGTCTAGATGTGGTAGGTCAGGAGGCAACTGTGACACCGCGGTGGCGCCGCGACCGCAGGCTCCGCAGGCCCCGCAGGCCGGCCCTGAGCCTCCCGCCGAGGGGACCCGGCGGCCGGGCCGGGACCCGACAGGGGGACCCGACCCGCGGGGATAAGGTCATTAGATTCTCGGTCTGATGTGCTGCTCGGGATTGGATTACGCGACCGCGAGGCGAGGCGCGCGGCGCGCCGCGCCGATGGCCTGGCATTTAAAATCCGCGTCGCTTTACTATACAGCTTCGACGGCTAATCTCATTCCGAAAACTCGTCGGGCTGGGCGTAGAGTTGTACGCCGAAGAAGTAGTGGTGGTGGCCGCGCCCGACCGCGAGCAGCCGAGCCGCGAGCCGTGCTGAGAGAGTTGTGAGGTCAAGACTGACTCGCCGCAGAGACTTTGGGAACTGTCGTGGCGCTGCTTCGGTACAAGTAATAAGGCTGTCTCGAGCTTTGGGCTCTCTCTCTGGCAGGCCACAGTGGCGCGGCGGTCAGTGCCATAGGGCTCGCGCTCGTCCCGAAACCGCTACAGGACGCCGCTTTTTATCATTTGTTGTTTTAGCGGATTTTTGTTTTGTCTCGCCGCCCCGTGCACAGTACAGCATTACTATTATATTCGTCGGGCACGCGACGACGCGCGTCCCGCTTCTTTCTTGAAGGGACGGGCGAGATAGAGAGGGACGCGCCACACTGTAATTCCTAAAGGCAACTTTTTTAGCGGTTGCCTTTGTTGTTACTTCCCAGGCAGTGAGAAATCGTGAATGTTGCCCCTAGGGAGGCAACAACCGAAAGTGTCCGGGCTCAAGGCAACATTTGTTGCCTCTGCCGCAAAGTCTGCCTTGCCGCGGGGAAGAATGTTACCCTTGGCGTAAAGGCAACTTTTGTCGCCGTGCGGGCGGCTACCTTCTAATCCCCGCCTCTGCGGGACAAAAGTATCCTTTGTGTGGTGTTGCCCGCATAGGCGTTGAAAAAGTTTCCTTTTTGAAAGGCGACTCTTATCCCCGTGTATTCGATAAGTTTTGGTGCCCGCATAGGCGTTAAAAAAGTTTCCTTTTTGAAAGGCGAC